TTACCTCAAACTGCAATCCTGATTTTAGCTTCCTCAGGTGTAGGGATGATAAGTGTGCAGCTATTGGCTAAGAAGAAATCTCAGAAACTTTTTATCCAGGCTGGTCTTAAACCATCACCTTCCCTATCAGAGCCTCCAAAGTAGATAGGGCTACAGGTATGAACCAGTGTGTTTGTCCTCACAATTGTTATAAGCAATAAAATTCAGTCCTAACCAGTGTTTTACCATAATACTGGGTCCACTCTTAAAGATGATGAATTTTTAAGACTTCATTTATGATCAGTTAAAAATTATTATATGCCCAATGAGAACCATGAGAGCATTCACTCAACACTAGCCACCAATGGTGAGGATCACTCAAAACTAGTCACCAATGGAGGAGGAGGAGGAGGAGGAGAAGAGCAATGGTGATGGTAGAGAGGAAAATTTTTGACTTAAGAATCTTGTATCTGAGGACACTATAGATGATAGCCTGGTTTCTAAAAAAAGTGAGTATCCTCCAATTAAGAGGGTAAACATTTTAGAGAAAGTCACAAACTCGTAGGGAAAATAACCCAGACTGGTACCTAGGTTGATATGGCTCTGAGTATATCCCTATATGGATACTTTTTTGTGTTCCTGAACTCAAATATTTAAATTTTATCTCCATCCTATTTCCCAAACAATCCTTTAGTCTGTCAGAAATGTGATAGTGTTCCCTCAGATGATAAATTTGAAGAACAAGGCTTCATTGCATTGTCTTCTCTACCAGTAATCCTTTAAAAAGCCTCTTTACACCCAGTTCACAATCTGACTTCTTTGGTATGCAAGTCAAGCAAGTTCTGGGTTTGCAGTGCATGAAGTTGTTCAAACAAGAGGTAACATCTCTTTCCTCCTGTAGGATCACATACCTTTGTAAGTCCCTTTACCTGATGTTTCTTCTCATTCTAGATTGGGTTGACTCTGACATGAGATGCCCTGTATCAGACAGAGAGCTAAGTCACCTTGGGCTACTCTGGGAATCTCAACATGATGAGTGCAAGAGCAGTTGATAACCTAATGTCTGCTGGCTAACATCATCTTTGGCCCCCAAAGTATTCTGAAAGTTACTTCACTGGGTTCCGAGGGAAGAGTCAGCCCCTTCTGCTTCAACTCCAAGGGAACTGGTCAGACTGAGTGCAGACATTTGTTGTTCAAACGATTCTGGCTAATGTTCCCAGGGAGGAAGCTCTGGGGCTTTATCTCCTCTCTATGAACTATCTCCAGAAGAGAAAAAGAAATGGAGGGAAAGGCGATGTGGGTTTTTTTTTTTTAATTGTGAAAATACCGTTCAGAAGGGTTACAATTACATGGGCAAGGTAATGAGCACATTTCCTATCAAGCATTGTTGCCTCCTCCTTTGTTTTCCCTTCCCAGTACAAGTGTTATGTCAAAAAACGAACTTTACAACTTTGGCCAGGGGTGGAGGGTGGGGGTGGAAGGTGATGTATTTTGATTTGTGAAGGGGGCAGTGCTTTCTCTCCAGGTGAGTCTGTCCACACCAGATGAGCCATCATCGCTTGGAGGATCTAGTGTCTCCAAGGTCCAAAGATAGAACCACTTGAGAGGAGTGTGGCATGCTGAGCATTTCTCCATGTCACCTGAGTTTCCGAGTGCATAAGGGGTGGATTTAGCATGCTTTTTCAAAACCAGCACAATGAGCCCCTGGAACCTTATCTCACTCCAGCTGCAATTTCATATGTCAGGCTGCCACAATCCTAAAGAATGGTCTGGAGACAGGGAGTTGTCAGAATGACATCACTCAGAGAAAAACAAAAGAAAATAACAACCAAGACTACAAAGGTATTAACTGAGATCACTGCACAAAGAGCACTTATAGTTTATTTCTGATGTAGTTTACTCATTTGGAAAAAGAGAATGAATGTCTCAACAAAGTGTTTAATTCATTTTGCTGGGTACTGGTGGCTTACACTTGCAATCCTAGCTACTCAGGAGGCTGGAATTTGAGGATCAAGGTTCAAAGCCAGCCTGGGTAGGAAAGTCCACAAGACTTTTATCTCCAATTGAGCACCAAAAGGCCAGAAGTGGCGCTGTGGCTTAAGTGGCAGAGCTCTATCCTTGAGCACAAAAACTCAAGCAAAGTGCCCAGGTTCTGTGTTCAAGCTCCAGAACTGGCATAAAAAAATGGTAACTTCATTTTATTGTGAGGCCGTTTGAGAGGAATTAAAGAAGGAAGAGAATGTTACAGGGTGAACAATACAGACAAAATACTACATCTTTGAATGAAGAGGGCCTAATGAAACTTACTGAAAGCTGCTGAGTAATAGAGGATAGTGGGGATGGGGAAAGTGAGAATAAGAGAGCGATCAATTTCACTCAAGTATTATATATGGATGTATTTAACACAGTGAAACCCCTTTGAACAAGTAACATACACTTAAAATTCATTAGAAAAAATATAAAATAGGGTCCTGTCAGGGTATGAGGACTACAGAAGGGGAGAGGGTGAATGGAGACAGTGAACAAGGGTGACTATGTTCCAAATACTTTTTGTATGTATGTGAAAATGGAATAGTAAAGCTTATTGAGATTAGTTTGGTAAGGCAAGAGAGATGTGGGGAAAGGTACAGAGCAGGTGAGTCTAATCATGGCACAATGATGCATCTAGGGACCCACTTGGTACAACTTGACGTTAATTTTTTTTGGGGGGGGGGGTCCGGTCGTGGGGCCTGAAGTCTGGGCCTGGGCGCTGTCCCTCAGCTCTTCAGCTCAAGGCTAGCGCTCTACCACTTGAGCCACAGTGCCACTTCCGGCTTTTTTCTTTTTGCTTATATGGTGCTGAGGAATCGAACCCAGGGCCTCGAACATGCAAGGCAAGCGCTCTACCACTGAGCCACCTTCCCAGCCCCTGATACTAATTTTTTAAGTGGGTAAAAATCAAAATTCCTTTTATGATGCATCCCATACATTGTTTTCTCACATTGTGTTTCTTAACATGAATTCTTAAGCTTTTATGTATAGAATTTCTAATCTTTTCCTTGAAAAAAATCAACACTTAATGGGCTGGGAAGGTGGCTCAGTGGTAGAGTGCTTGTCTCGCATGCATGAGGCCCTGGGTTTGATTCCTCAGCACAGAAAAAGCCGGAAGTGGCATTGTGGCTCAATTGGTAGGGTGCTAGCCTTGAGCTGAAGAGCTGAGGGACAGCACCTAGGCCTAGAGTTCAAGCCCCACAACCTACAACAACAACAAAAAATCAACACTTAAAATACACTTTTACATCATTACCTTAACTCATTTGTACAACTCTTTAATAAAAAACAAAAAGAAATAAATTAAAAATATGCTTGTACAAGCCTTTTACTTACTAAATTTCAGTGAGCATTGACCAGTATTTTCTGGTCCTCAATTATAATACTGGAAAGCACATTGTATATGCTGGTGCTCATGCTTTACTCTGTGTGTATCATGAGCTCAAGGAGTTTCTTAGCTAATTTTACAGCCCATCTCCAGACTGGGGAATCAAGCAAGTCTGAGGTAGCACCCAGATATCAGCATCTTCAATATGCTCCAAAGTTGACTGATACAGAGAGTGATACTAGACACTTTGCCATCCTTCTTTTTGGAATTGGGTGTCCTAACTCTAGAAAAAATAAGCCTTATAAGAGTATTCAGGGGCTGGGAATGTGGCTTAGTGGTAGAGTGCTTGCCTAGCATGCATGAAGCCCTGGGTTCGATTCCTCAGTACCACATAAACAGAAAAAGCTGGAAGTGTCCCTGCAGCTCATGTGATAGAGTGCTAGCTTTGAGCAAAAGCAGCTCAGGGACAGTGCTAGGCCCTGAGTTCAAGCCCCAGGACTGGCAAAAAAAGAGTATTCAGCAACTATTTGAATATTTCTACTCACTCTTTACTAACAATGTTAACATATGGCTCCTTAGCAATAATCACTAAAAATCAACTAAATATTGACATATTTCAGTTAAATACGTACAGGTTATGAGGGAGATACAGAAGAAAAAGATTGTCTTTGTTCTATGAGAGAATATAATCCCTAACATTTATATAGTAGCCCTAATACTTTCAAGTACATTTATCTTGTTCTTTGCCTTTGAAATTTTTTTCTGGGTTTTCCTACATTTTAACAGGGAATGGAATGGAGGGAGGGAGCCGTTTTGCACACACAGACACACAGATACACATACACAAAGAGCATTTTAACCTAAGTTTCTGGTTGAGGGAGGAGGAATGGAAAGCTGAACATGGTTCCCTTAGATGTGCTCCCAGCATCACTATACAGTTGTGTCCTGAACTAATAGAACAGACATGCAGGAACTTTCAGGAAGAGATCATCTCAAAAGAGGACAAGCTTACTCCTTAGATTCAGGATCAGCAACTCGGAAATGTAGCACCGTGTCTTCCACTGAGACACAAGCACAATTCGTAAGTGCACTCATCACTCTATGGTGATGAAGGGTCCCATGATTGGAAAGAGTAGGGGTTATTTGACTAAGAACTGTGTAAGATTTTGTGGTCCCAACAATACTAGAACAGTCTCTCACCTGTTAAATGTTACTATAAAGCAATGTAAGACTTAAAACTTTGGGAGTTCAACCTACCAGAGCCTCAAGAAAATGCAATGTGGTTTGATACTTAAGGTTCCAAATATACTAGCAGCAGTAGTGATGGGAGAGGAACAGAGAAATACAGGACCAAACAGAAGAGGCAGCTGTCGCTAGCAGGCCTGGCAGGACTCAAGGGAGACAAGGCTGGAGATCAACAGCAAAGGTTTGGCAGAGAAGCCCCCACCTCTGCCTACTGGATTTGTTCTGGAGCACAGATTCAATGACATCAGTTCCTCCCTCAAATAAATAACTGGTAGTTCTACAGCATTGTGGCTTCTGTATGCACAGGTAGCACAAGGTCTTACCAAGCATAGCTCAGTCACAGTATGATTTTTTTCCTCACAGCAGTTCTGTGAGGCAAATTATTTTCCCATGAAATGACTGAGTCTTAAGCAAATTATATGTAATGATTGCCAGTTTTATTCTTCAGGCTAAGAGATCCAGAGGTAATTAGAGGTTTACATTTCTTTTTAATAGCTCATTCATCAAGAGTTTAGTTGCCCCCATTGCCCTTACAAGCTGGTTGCAAATTAATTTTTAACTCTTGCTTATAAAAAAAAATTCTCCATTCTTTGTGTGCAAGACACAGGTGTTCATTTAAAAAAATACACATAAGCAGAAGGCAAAACAAAAACTTCACACCACACAGAACTAAGCACGGTTAAGTTTCTGAGATACATATGTATGTATGCACGTGCTCATGCACGCACAAACACACACACAATTTGGAATTTTATCTTGCATATGTATGCGGACACTAAATACGCTGCATTGTAACCTGTTAGATTTTACTATACAATATGGAGTGGAGATTTCCATGCATATATGTGAAACTTCCAAAGCAAAATCAACCTGGAAAATGGGTCAAAATCCCAAATCCAATGAGATGCTTGTAACAAGAAAACTACTTAAAATATCATCAGGTAATTAAATGTAAAATGAAAGTCAAAGATACATCAAAGAATGCTAACAGAAAGAAAGCAGCCAAGTTTCAATATCAGACCAGAAAAAAAAAATTAAGGCCTAAAGCACACAGGATACGGACGGCTGCGGGAATGTCTTTGCTTCCAATGCATCATCACAAACTTGTTTCTTACTCTTCTTATCTCTTCCCTAAGCCTTTCCAACTCATCTACTCCTCTTATCATTTCTTCAGGGTCCAAATGCCTAACAGGAGTGTCTTCTTTAAATTCCTGGCTAGGCTGAGCCGGCCCTCCATTAAGGTTTCCTTGTGCCTCTTGGTTTACACCTTCTTCCAGAGGTTGAGGATTTCCTTCTGCCTCCTGTGGTACATGTTCAGAAGGACGGTCTTCCTCTGCCTTTGGCATGTTCTGTGGTCTTCCTTCACTTGTTTCACAAGGCCTTTGCATGGTGAGTATTGTTATTTTTTTCAACAAATAAATTCTAGAAAAACAAGAAAACAATAATAACTAGGTGCCAAGCAAACGGACTTCTAGCCTAACTAGTTCCCATAGCTACTGGCTTTGCACATTTAGGTCCCAGGGAAAAGTTTTCCAACTAGACAAAGCAAGTTTCTCAGGCTCAAAACTCTTCCTACTCCACCCCTCCCTTCAGCTCCCAGCCCTCCCCTTCGGGCTCCACCTCCATCTTCCCTCCCCCCTGCTCCAGCCCACCATTTTCCCAGCAGGCCCTGCTACAAGCCTCTCAAAGCACTGAAATGGGAGCAGCGTGGAAAACAATTAACCCTTCCCGCCCCTCAGGTTTCTAGCACTCCTGCCCAACAGTGCTTTTCCTAGCCATCCCTAACTCCAGTCTCTCAATCGCGAGTGTCAGGTGTCTATCCCTCCCCTTCTCCTCAGTGTCCTCCCCACCCACCCCATTATCACTCCACTCATGGCACTGGCGTCCGGCTGGCTCTTAATCCACATGAGGAGGGGACGGGGGCTGCAGAGACCCGGGGCAGTGTTTTGGTGTCTCCTTCACTTCCACTACCTCCCAAAGAGACCGGAAGCAATTGTACCCTAGCACTGACCGGTACAGATCCGGGGGTTTTCCACTCTCCCTCTTCACTTGGATCTTGTCGCGCCCAAAATACCGAGTCCTGCAGACAGACAGGAGTACTTGGTGAGCACATTACTACAAGGACCAACGGGCCCCTTTTATCATTACAGGCCTTATTGGTTTAAAGTTTCCCAACTCCTCATCCCCCCCCCCCCCCACTCCGCTTTTGTGGCAACCCCGCCCTTCTCCTGTGTCCACCGTTTCCCAGCCAGCAAGCACTGAATGAAAGTCAAGTTTTTTTCCCCACATTGTTTCTCTCTCTCCCTCCTTCCCTCCTTCCTTTCTCACCGTCCCTCTTGCCCTTTCTCCCCTTCTTCCCCCTCTCTTTCTGAGTCAGGACCCTCAATTCGCTACCTTTCTTCCTCTCAAACCCAGACAAAACAGTCCAAAATATTCTGCACAAAATAGGGAGTTTGGCAAAACACTGGTGTAGCAAAAGCGAGCCCCTACCCGGAGCTAGGTTTCAGTTCTCCACGTCCACCCCACCTTGTCGAAGTCAGTGCTCACCTTTCACTGCCTGAAAAGATCCCGAGCACTTTTCTCCTCCTGAAAAAGGAACTGCCACTGGGAAACGGGGCCTGGACTGTAAGGACTTCTGCACACGTCGACTCCTGGTCACGTGAGGGGCACGTCATCAATGAGCTTAAGTCCTCTCTTGCCCCTCCCAATAACACTGTAACCCGCCGATACATTTCCTCCACTTGATACCGTCGATCTTTTCCTATTTGCCAATCAGAGACAATAAAAATGGCATCTTCACCCTGTATATCTATTTGCTGATCTCCGATTGCCAGGAAAGATCAGCTTCTTAGAGTTAATCGATCAAGTTTTCTAATTTGGAGAATCATCTCATTCTCCCCCTCCCCCCCTCCCCCCCCCCCCCCCCCCGCAACCAATATGTCCCTCTTTTCTCTTCCAAGACCCTACACTCCACTATTTCCTCTGGAAGCCTATCCAGCATTATTAAAATGGATGAGGACAGTAGGTGAGAGAGAGGGGAGCTGGGAAACAATCAAAGGTGAGACTGTGATACTTTAGTAGATTTCTTATATTATAAACAGTTTATTTTTTAATTTATACATCATATTTAAAAGGTGATGCCTTGATCTATATTTAAACCTTAGCATGAAAGGCTAACTTGATTAAATCCGTTTTTAAGACTTGAAAAAAAAGTTTTCTAGTGGTTAAAAATAAAATGATAGTATTTGCAGCATATTAATTCTAGAATTTTTTCTTACCTTTCCTTTTTCTTTTTTGATGTTAGATTTTTAAAAAAATCTTACTAAAACAGTATCTTTAATTTTTGCTGCTCAAATTAATATTTGGGAAGAGATTCCGATTAGCTGTTCTCCACTACTCTCTGGGGGAACTCAAGTTACCAAGTATTAGATATCTGAGCAAAATCATTGATGACTGCTGTTTCAAATGCAGGCTTCTGACAGATCTTCCTTTCTTTATAGGATCCAGTGCCTTTTTAAATCAGATGAATTTGTGGAAAAGCCCAGTTTCCAATGAATGATCCTTTTTAACTGAAATTTTGTTGTTGAGAAATATATTTATAGGAAGACAAGCCTCCTAATAAAACACTCAGGGGAAAAGGGGGAAATCCCTGTATGTTACAACTGATGGTGAGGCTTTTAAGCAAGTGGAATTTTTCATTCACTCTTCAACCATTCCTAACACATTTGAGAAACTCTGTTATCATTTGATGTGATCCATTAAGAAACAGCACTATCAACATGTGCAATCAGAAAATAAAACATCATGTCACACATGCACACACATGTGCACATACACACTATAAAAGAAACTCATCTTCCTGAAACACAGAATCCATTGGTACCTGCAGGTGTGGTGGTGACTAGACTGTTAATCTGGCTAATGGAGCCAGCTGGGGAGTGATTAAAAGGAAGGGGGTTGTTGCTTATGTAGATGATCATAGCAAGATGCCTAAGCCAACAACAGCTCAGGAGACAGAAGAAAGAAAACATTGCAAGAATAAATATTTATTTTAGACTAATGCTTTATAATATATACATGAATAATTTATTCTACAATTCATTGATAAACTTTCAATTATTTGAGAAGAGTTTTAAAGCAAAATATAATTTTTAGCCAGGCACTGGTGGCTCCTGCCTGTGATCCTACCTTCTCCAGAGGCTGAGATTTGAGGATTGGAGTTACTTTTGAAGCTAGTACAGGCAGTAAAGTCCATAAGAGTTAGTGCTACTTTGCCACCAAAAAGCCAAAAGTGGAGCTGTGGTTCAGGTGGTAGAGCATGAGCCTTGAGTGGAAGATACTAAAGGACAGTGCCCAGGTCCTGAGTTCATACTCCAGTACAAAAACAAAAATCAAGATAAAATTAAACAAATACTTTCACTTTTTAAGATGCTACCATTTATTGGGGAGTGGGCTAGACACCTGGCTCAAGTGGTAGAGTATCAGATGAGCAAGCAAGCCAATACAGCTCAAAGATCTGAGTTCAAACCTTGGTACCAGAAAAAAATCCATAAACATTTAATGGGAAACAATGCTGAAAAGTGTGTGAAGATTGTGAACCAATGTATGCATTTGTTTAACAACCACTACAATCAGAACATAGGTCAATTCAGTTCCTCAAATTATTTCATATTACCCTTTGTAGCCATATTTAACCCCATTTCCTAAACTTTGCAAACCACTGATTTGTCCCTCAGTATAGTTGTATATTCAGAATATTATGTGTGTGTATGCGTGTGTGTTATCATATGATTTTTTTGAGACTGGCTTTCTACAGTTCATCATCAATGCTGTTGTCAATCAGAAAAGTAAAATAACTATTCTAAACAGAAAGTGGCTTGTTCTGAGCCATCTCAAAAGACTACACCCCAGAAAAAAAAAACACTTAGCAACATCAGCTGCTGAAGGATATGGTTCCCTATAAAGTGATGGCACAAGTTTTTTCCGTTCCAATAATAAAAATAGGTGGGTCATCAGTTAGGTAAGTGATAGACAATTGTAGAAATCCCATAAAAATCAATACTAGCTCCTTCCCATCTTCAGGATTTAATTGAGGCTACAAGGCCTTCAGTCTAACACTCATTAAAAATTGCATCCAGCAGAATGCCAAACTGGACAAAGGCTGATGATACTTGGCTGTTAAATGGGCCTAAGTACCCCCAAACCACTTAGGCTTCTTAATTTATAATTCATGTCCCCATAAGGTAACACTGCTCTAATCAGTGAAATGTAAACAATCTGGATATTCAAGGGTATCCTTTTTTAAGGAACTTCAGTTCACAATTCCCTGAACATATATTTAAATTGTTAGATATATCAATAGTTTATTTACATTTTATTAGCATTTGAATATTCCATAGCTTATCTATTCACCAGTGCTGAGCAACTATGAAGAAAGCTAGTACAAATATTCATGTACTGAATTTATTCTCTCATAGGTTCTTATCTAGACCACCTGTCTCAGCATCTCCTTTTATACCCCAAATTCACCTCTTACGTTGCCATCAAATTCAATTTCACCTCTCTCTTCTTTCAACTGTCAATCTCTTGCTGAGAGATCCTGGATGGCAAACCTACCACGCACAGAGTGAATCCTATACTCTTCAACCTCACATTAAGCATGTATCAGAATTGATCCTCAGGACACACAATCTTATCCTAATCATGTACTTCTTTGCCGCACTAACTGTGTCTCACATTTTCCATCCCTCTCATTTTTCTTTGTCGGTCATGGGGTTTGAACTCTGGGCTTGGGCGCTGACCCTGCACTCTTCAGCTCGAGGCAAGCACTCTATCACTTGAGCCACAGCACCACTTCTAATTTTCTGGTGGTTAATTGGAGTTAAGAGTCTCACAGACTTTCCTGCCAGGACTGGCTCTGAACCATGATCCTCAGACCTCAGCCTCCTGAGTAGCTAGGATTACAGGCTGCATGAGCCACTGATGCCCACCTCCTCTCATTCTTTTTGCATGATATTTCTTTCTACCAACAACTGCTCTCCTCTTCCTTCTAGATCCTGGTCCTGTTCATTTTTTGAAATCTCTGACGTTACCTCAACTGGAAGTGATCCTATCCTTTTCTGTCATTGATGCTCATAGGGTGTGGAACCCTATTGTGGCTCTTAGCTAAGATCATTCCCTCTTACTCTTCGTGTGTGTGAGTGGGGGGTGGGAGGCACACATGTGTGGTGTGTGTTGGGAGAATACCTAACCAAGAAGATGGTCAGCTGAGGAATGGAAGTAGGCATCTGGGATCTGCCTTCAATTCTTCTGCTTCTGAAGTAACTGTTAAAAGGGTAGCTATCTGGCGTATCTCGAAAAAAATTCAGCATTTTAGAAAGAGTTGCTGGGATTGCAGATGTAGCTCCATGGTAGAGCCCTTCTGAGCATGCATGAAGCTTTATGCTCAATACTAGAACATGAAACAAAGCAAAACAAAACAGAACACTTTGCCAATCAGCACACAGAGGAATAATCTCTGCCTGCATAAAAATTATAGGAAAATGTTGTTGTCCTCTCCTCTGTTTTGTTTGCATATAGTCACTGCAGCCCTATCCATATTTTATGGTGTTATTTGTAGAGGGCTCTGTTTTTCTAAATACTTAACCAAACAATGCAGACATTCATCTTCATTCTCATTCATGCATGGGCCATGTATGTATCTGTGTCACTTAGCTTTGCAATCAGATTAGTCACAGTAGATTTTAATATAAGTAGATTTTAAGGTACTAACATTCTTTGAGGGTAAAACCTATTTCTTTAAAAGGAAAGAAAGCATGCACGTATTAATTTTAATGAGCACTGGAGAGTAGGCACCCTGGGTCCTGAACCAATCAGTGCCTATTTTTGTGTTTCAGAGACACTGGAGATGGTTCTAAAACCCAAAGTCCTCCAAGGGAGAAGCAAGGAGGCTGTTTTTTTTTTTTTTTTCCATTCAGAAGTATTGTGAAAGCTCTTAATCAAGGCTACAATGTCCAGAGAGTGCTTTCTGTATTCCTTTCTAAGTCATTTCTGTAATCTTTCATTCTGGTACACTGTATAGAGTATCAGTTATATACTGTATAGAGTATCTGATAACTGTATATATTATATACTCTATACACTATACAACAACTTTTCTTGCATATTTCATCATGGCTGTTTTATGTTTTAATCAACGCATACTTGTCGAACATACTTGTTGCTACAATGTAATGTTTCAATACATGTATATGTATACATTATGTATTGACTACCTCAGGGTAATAATCATAATCATCGTTTCAAACATTTCTCATTTCTCATTTCTCTATTCTTCCAGATATTTTGAAATATATAGTTAAGTTACAATCACCATTCTATACTAGAGAATGTCAACCTCATTCCTCCAAATTATAACTTTCTATCTATTGACTAGCCTCTCTTCATCCTCCCTTCAGCCTTGATTTTTCTTTCAAAGCTCATCCCATATACGTTGAAAGACTATTCCCTTCTGTTGCTTCTCTAGCATTCTCTACCAGGCTGGAAGAATATCTAACCCAGTATAACAAAATCTGCCCCAGATCCAGAGATTTATTACATAGTGTATACTCAAGCAGCTTGCATTTAAAATGTTTTCAA